GATTATATTAACCGTTTACGCTTCTTAGAGGAAAGCCCCCTGGTTGGCATTTTAAGTATTTATGAAGGCAAGTAAACAAATTAAGTCTACTAAGATAATTTATTTACGAGGGATGAAACCTTCGTAATTATAATAAATATCTGATATTGAGAAAGCGTTCACACTACCCAGGTCCCTTGTTTTTTATATTTCTCTTAAATCGATTGTGTTTTAACTGCACGTACGTAACGCATTTGGAACCTGCTACTCTTTCTCCATAATGCTCATCCCAACGGCTGAGGTAAACGTATCGCTCTGTGGTGTATAGAAAGTTCCTAACATACTTAGGATGACAAATGCTATCACGATAATCAAACTATTTGTAACTGTAACAGGTAAAAATAAAAATATAACTCACGTTACGGTATCGAACAAGATCCAAAGATGCAAACGACAGATTGTATTTTATAGCGGAGCTCCGGCGGTCCGAAAGGCCGCCAAGCGGAACACCATACTCATTTAGGAAAGAAAAGGAAACTCATGAATTGATTTTGTCATGGTTATTATGGTTAGCTGTATTGTTCGTGGGCGCCTACGCACGATGGTGGCAGGGCGCTTATATGTAGGGCGGTGAAACGAGCGGGTCCGAGCAAAAAGGTGTGATGCAGTAGACTGGGGTCTACTAACACGAGCAGATCCGCTTTAATACTTACACTGGAACATAGATTTCTAAAGAAATTCCACGAAACTCCCTTCTATATGAAGCAGCAACGTTTTTGGGGCATTTTTGTTCTGAGGCAATGGGAAATGGTTAGTTTTTCAGGTTGAAAACAGGACTTCAAATTTCGCGCTGTAGGAGCTGCTCGCGCTAGTTGTACGCGTAATCTTTTGCATCTCTTCTGACTTACGAATAAAGGTTTTGCAAGAAAACTCTCTACTCGGGTATCGAGCTGATTTGTGCGTTTCTCAGAACAATGCTTAATCATAACCAAATCTGTTTTCGATCAGTTCCTTAGGTAACCGTTTCTTATTGTTTCTGCTTGTTTGGCGAGCAGGAAAGTCTGAGGCATACAAGTAGCTAATTTCAGCTAATTTGCATAATGCAGCGCGTGCACTTTCAAGTCCGAGTCGATGTTTTCAATTTGTCAATATGAAAACTTGACAAAGTATTTTTTCGCCATCTTTTGTGCAGAGATGATGCGACAATTTTTGCCAACGCTAAAAGGCTACTAAGATCATGTGTGTTTCTTCGACATAGTGAATTTTTATAATGCGAAAATGAAATAGGAGTTTTGAGAACTCAAACAACAAAATCGAAACTCAGTAAATGGTTTGAACCCAGGAGTATCAGTAGTTCGTATAGTGTGATCGTCCGGGTGAGTGTAG